CACACACACACACACACACACACATACAATATATATTACATGTAATTAAATTATTCACTTAGAAAGGACTTTATATCAAAGATACTGAAGAGAAATCTTCATTGTACGTATTTCTAAAAAATAAGATTCTTAAAATAATGTCCTTTTTAAAATGATTGCATTAATTACACGTCGTCACACAAATCTTAAAAAAAAAAATTCTTTTAACTCTTTTGTTGGATACTATTTTCATCTAAAATTGTTAAATTTAGAAATGAGCTGGTAGTTATCCTTCATTCGGAGTATCTCTACATCTTGAGAATACTTGAAACAAGATCTACAAGCTGCAGTAAGTGAAGTCATGGATGGCAAAGAGGAAGTCTCAATAAAGTGCTTTATTTACACCTTGATGCAGTATGAAGGTGATAACAGTTAGCAGTTGCGTAGGATTTGAGAAATATCATAATTTAGAATCCTAATTCATTCTCACGGGATACTATAACTCCGGAACAAGAGTTCTGTTGCACATTATTTTGGAGAAGCATTCTCTATACCTCTAATAAACTCACTATCATATTGTTATCTTTGCTAAATATTGAGATTCTCGATCATCTTGAAATGTAACGAAAGGTGATTCACCGAAATTCTTCGTACACTTCGAGTTTCAACATACCGTTTAATCAGTATTTGCTAATGAATACCCCCCGATTGCCTTTGGTATCCTACTCGTAAAAACAAATTCGTTAGTGCCTTTATCAGCAACGTGATCAGCATTTATCGCAACGACTTTAAGGTATTCTTTCAGTCCTTTCTTTTTGTGATGAGGTATTATTGATGTATCATACGACTTTGTATTAAAAAAAAAAAAAAAAGGATCACGTAAATCGTGAGATCACAACTGTTCAGATTCGAAGGCCGCGTTGTCTATGCCGTTCATCATTTCGGTTTTCTGTGCTGTCTTCTGTGTGTCCACGATCCGAGGAGTTGATGCCTTTAAATTATAATCTGTCGCATCCTCGTTTTTATGATTCATCATAGCTTCGGGTTCTTTCTGCTCCTTCAGCATGCGATCCTTTCGATGTTCCGTGTACAACCAGCTGAAACAATCAAGCAATAACTTAACGTAGTGCAATCGCAGCTCGCAAACTTAATTCAATTTTCATTACAGTTCGAATCTGAATGTTTTCATGGGAAGATCATAGTGTTTAGCAAACGCAATGTATTGTTAACGTAACATATTACATTATAATCGTAACTTGATCATGCTACTCACAAGAATGCAAACACCGCGGGCACTGTCATGCATCCTCCGGCGATGAAGAACGTCCCCGGAAACGTATTCATGGTCGCCGCGTAAATGGCGCTGTACATTGGCCCATAAACAAGCGGCATCAGGGACTCGCATACGCCAAACAACGAATTCACCTTACCTACAAAATTACGTAACGTGTATGCCTTAGCTTCGGATGGAGAATAAAAATTGCGTTGAATTTTCCTTGCTGTTAACCGGACAGGAAGGCCTCGTTAGACTTTGTTCGTGATGGAAAAATTAATAGCATTGCCACGTAAATGTAATTTGGTGTACAAATTATCCGATTTATGCGGTTCCGCGAAATACGCTGTTTCGTGAGGTAAAGACCGAGCTCAAGTCGAAAAACATTTTTAAGTGGCACTAAAGTATTATATAACTATATATAATGATTGTAGAATTCTTTTGTTTGACTTCATTATAAAGGTACTTGTTTATTTTGTGCGCTTCTACGGAGAGCTCTTCTAATTATGAGAGATATATATGTATATCTGACGTTATCGCAAGCATCTTTTCTGTGGAATTTTACACAGGAAGTGTATGATCCAAATTGCGATGCAAATTGGACGCTTCCAAGAAACTCGTATGATATATATATATATATATATATATATATATATATACTTCAATCATGTACATAATATACAAAGTAATATTATATAATACAATACTTAATTTTTTTCTTAAAATCATAAAACTCCGAGATATAAAAATATAATGGCGTAAGGAGAATTATTTCTTTATTTATCATTATTCTTATTCTCTTACCGAGCTCATCGGTGGGCACGAGTTTAGAAGCTATCGATCGCATGGCGATGAAAGATGTGCCGTTCACGATCTCCACGATAGCGGCTGAAATAAGTAATTGATCCGTTATTAGATACACTCGCGTCGGGACTGGGGCTATACTGTGATATATATATTTTATATACGTAGTTGTTACCCTGATGTTAGCCGTTTTAAAAAGACTGACCTACGTAGACCATCCAGGCGGACGTGGCGAACGCGTAAACGAAACTTGCTAAAATTTTACTCGTACAGCTCATGATACCCACGATCGCGTCGTCTATCTTGAGAATGTGACTGAAGATACCGACGGAGATCGCGGTACCTGCGTATCAGAAGGAAAAATCTTTTACTTTTTCATGCGAGAATATTTTCATACGAATATCGGACGATCGCACGAATAACGATTCTAAAGGATTAGTAAGCGGACGAGCGCCTGTAAAATTCCAAGTGATTCCGTTAGTCAAAAGAAAAAGTATGTGAGAGAGTCGGATTTTGCGCGTTTGCAAAATTTGTAGAATAATCTACATCGACAAATGGAAAGTTTTCGTCAAATAGAAAGTCAAACCGAAGACAGTCATACCGTATTCGAATTAGGGCTGATTTGCTTCGAAGGCTTCGACATTCGTGAAGATCGAAGCTTCGAAGATTCAAAGAATCAAAATTATATAATTAATAGTAACAAATACATATATTTTCCTTAAAAAACATGTAAATATTACTACGAATATATTCTCATTTTTACTATTTACACATATATATTTTTCGAAACTTCGACGCTTCAACGGAATCAACTTCGAATTTCAAAATTTTGGCACCTCAAACTTTTAAGTTCGAAGTTAACTTTGAAGATTCGAATTCTTTCGAAGCTTCAAATTTTAGAAACTGTCAAAAGTAAGTACAGTCCTAATTCAAATAGGGCGAACTTAAGTGTCACGTTCGTAAGAACACAAATTCTAACAGATTTTATCTTGCATGCACGCCATTGGCAATCTGCCTTTCTGTTGCAAAATATTTTTCTAACATTTTCTACTTTGTGCTACCAGTCGACTTCTGCAACAAGCGATTGCATTTTCAAGGCAATTCCTACCTTCTATAATCAGCTAGAATAAAAGCGACAGTTGATGATTCCGCTTAGCAACGATATTCATTCTTACATAAGATACGTCTCCCGTTTGCTTTCATCGACCCATGGACGCAAAAAGCCTTGATTAACCCGATGTATGTACAGCATCATTACGAGAATAGAGCTAACGGATACCTTCGATTTGCGTGAAACGGCAATCGGAGGAGATTATCTGCTCCGACCGACTCGTACGCTGCGTCCGTCGTTTCTACACGAAGCAGAATGTACATTTCTACTTCAAAATAAGTAGTTAGATCAGTGAATGAACCGGAAGAATTCATTGCGCGTAAACGATTTTACGAGCGCTCGCTTAAATTCCCATTTTTTTTTCCTCCCTCTCGCTCATTAATTAACGTGCGAGACATTTTCAAGACTGATTTTCTTACCGATCAGATTAGTTACCATGCCAAACGTGGAGAACATGCTGAACGTCACTTCGTTCCAGTTGTATCGGAACCGCATGTAAAGATAGAGAACCGCCATTTCGCCTGTGAAAGAAACAAACTTGATAAAACCATTCGCTCTTGTTGCGTAATCTCTGTCTGTCTCTATCGACTAATTATAAAGTACAGGTACGATGAATCAATCAACGTATGCAATAATAAAAACTTTGACCAGACTCGCGGTAAATTATCCTCCGATCTATAAGTGAGATCTATTAAGTTTTATACTTAATATTTATTCATTGAATATACTAACGAGTATATTCAATAATTCCTTTGATGCATCTAAGAATAGACTTGCGCACAATAGATTATCTCTCAGAGTATCGGTTCTCAGAAGAGTCTCGATTCGTGACAGGCTCGCTATTGTGTTACTCATTATTGAATATTTATAGAATTCATTAGCTCAAGTTGGATTAATAATTAACTCTCGTTATGTATAACCATTCTTCGGCTTGTTTATTTACTCAAAGAATGGTTCTTAAGATTTACGGATTTTATTTTCGCTTCGCCTCCAAGCATCTTTTCGCGGTTTTAATTATAATTACTATTAGTGTAATTTGCAACACTAACACGTACTTTGTCACGGTACGCAAACAAACAATCACTATACTCACGGTTGACTTGAGCACAACGTATCGTATTTTGCGAGGTCATTGTTGTTAAGTTTCATGCTGTATAGCTATGGAGATATTTTGCAGATTCACCCAAGCGCAACGGTTTTCTGTTCAATTACAAACGATTTTCACGATTACATCGGTTACAATTAGACCGACAATTGCTTCCTGTATAAGTAATGCCAAGTTAACTGCGAAGGTCAAACGCAAATGTTAGTATTACGTAAAACGAATTCTCCTTTTCAGAAAAGAGAAGACATATTCCGGGGACAAGTGTGCAGCTGCCGAAGATATATCTAAGTGTTCAGCCTTATTAAATGCACGCGCATGCATTCTGGCGACGCGCGCTCTCCCATGAAATTGCAATGACATGTTTGCACGACATTGGTACGTAATGTGAAAAGTTACGGGTTTCCGTAATTCATCCCGCATTAAAATGCGTCGCACGTTCTTTGTGCCGATGCGGTATCCTCGATGCCGCACACTCCATTCAGGATTGTAGCGAAAATATACTACTGTATAACGTAATAGTCGCTTTCACCACGTATCTCTGACAAGCAAAGATCTGAAATTACATCGTGAATACATAGCCACGTTCGCGAATCGCGTTAGCATGCATGCTGATGGAAATTGCGTACGAATAAACGTGTAATATTGCGTGTGCTTGTGCATTAATATATTTCACTATATAAATATATTTCAGTATATACGTACGTCTGTAATTTGGAAATTTCAATATTAAATTATCGTAAAGAAACAAGTAAATAGACAGATAGATAAAGCCTCTATTAACGTTCTGGAGCAAGCTCTTTAAGAACGCACATAGCGAAGAAATAAAAATTATAATGATTACAAAGAGAGAAAGTATAATTTGAAAGTCATTTCATTCACTTGTCAATGTATTCTAAATGTATGTAAATTTCATATCTGCCTATTTTTACGATTGCATTTATTATGTATATTGAAATTCATTTTATGTACGAATTTGCGTAATTGTTCTCATTCTTATCCGAGTAAGCAAAGTGTGTCGAATTACGTAAATACTACTATTCCTTCTCGTTAATAATTAACATCGATTACAGTAAAAAGACCTTAAAAGAAATGATGAAAACGTGTAAATAATTGAATAAACCTCAATTTTAATCTAAAAAAGTTGCCCCAGTCTCTACATTTGCAACTGCCAAATCTACATGCCGATACATCTTGTATACTCGTTCGCGCTACAACATTAAGCCGTCAGGATAAATTATCGCGCTTACGAGACGTCACCGAGCGACTATGACGACAATGAGAGAGTCGAGAAAAGTAACGTCTCAAGAAGAGTCTTACAGGTATATCCGCGTTACAGCATTCGAAATCAGGAAGACGCCCATTACACGAAATTGTTATAAGCGTGACGACTGCCCGCGTCACTTAGCAGCTGGGGTAATATGTGCTAATGCGTACCCAGACATTGTAACGACGGGGCTACCTATATAATTAAATTGTGACAAGGGCATCTGCGAAATGTGCTGGAATTGTACGTCGTCGCTGTACGAGCGCGCACGATCGCATTAAAGTCGCGATAGCGCGCTGTAACAAATGCACGCTAATTGAAAAATTGAATGATTCGTGTGGTCGCGTGCTTGCACGGGCTACTAGCAGAAACTGGAGGAGCTTTATTGTTGCCGATATCGTCCGGCACTGAGACTGGATGCTGGTGCTAAGCGCTGACATCTGCATCGGTATCGTAAATTTTTATTTACGAGCTCCCCGTCTAACAAACTCCGAGGTATGCGGTTTGTTGGAAGAGGTTGTGTAAGAATAGTTTCCGTCTTTCATAAAAACTGTTTCCACACACTGAAAAAAAATCTATCTTGAACATTTATTTGTGAGATATAATGTTTATTTGGTTGAAACAAACCTTTATTTCAATACAGCGTTCCTAGTAAAGAAATCATTTTATTTTTTGCAATTAATCAAATACATTTCACGGAAATGTATATTTTGTCATCTCACGATCAAATTTTTTTATTACCAATAAATGTCAAAGAAAATATCATATGTAACATTTGATATTACTTGCGAATATTTCGATTTTTTTTCTTAGCGTGTAGAAGTTAACGATGTAATAAATGTTTGTTGTTTTGCTTGTTGAACTTTTGGTCTTTGCGGATTTATAACGGCTATACCTTGTAGATTACGCGCAATATCAGTGATTCCGAATGCCAAGCAAATGCAGTTGCAGTAAGATATTTTATTGACGCTTTAAAATACGCGGATTATTTGGATATCTCAAGTAACGCTACACGTTCGCGCTCGTATAATGTGTGCCTAGTTTTACCACAGGTTCTCTTACTTTCCCCTGACATACGATGTATATTCACACCGTCGGACGTAATTACTGATGGGAATGCGCACAGTTACCGCAACACGGTAGCAAGATTAACGAGAATTACCGTGAGTTTTTATCGTGCTACGAATGCACGTGAGAAATGATGGATGCATTTTATTTTCAACTATTTTCCAGCGGTTTTACCAATTTTTTTCTTTATTGTGTGAGAATTAAATTGTTTGCATATTTGAATCATTATACGTTTATTTCTCATGCATTTATGAGCTTTTTCTGATTTACATAATGCGTATAAATAATAATTGTAAAAAAAATTTTCACTTATATAAGATCGATTCAATGAATGAATAATATCATACAGCTGAATATGAATATTATATATATTGCTATATACAATAAATATATACAATTTTAATTGAGAATAGAGCTTTATAAGTTTTTAAGACTGTATTAAGTATGAAGTATACATGAAGTATATAAACACTTTTTAATAAAATAAAAAAAATTTGAAAAAGTTATAGATTTTTTAATGTTAAAATACAAAAAATTTGGCGACAATTTAGAACTTGATTCAACAATTGTTTCAATAACAGGTAAACATGTTATAAAATAATAATTAAAATAAAATTTGAGAAAAATTTCATGTAAATTGTAAAATTGTATTATTAAATATAAATATTGACCCTCTTAAACTGTCTCATATACATAATATTTATTTTTATATGGAAGGTCTAAATTTCTTGTTTTAATCATATTCTGCAGAGACTAAACAACCTGATCCTTGACAATAATAGTATTAGTAGATCACACTGTATTAATAACTCATTATTTACGTATTTGTAAAATTGAATATTAGATTAAGTTATAATTTAATTATCGTGAAAATTGGAAATAATTAAAAAAATTACTGAAAGAAAATGCCATGTGAGTAACATGTCTGAATTATACACCTGCAATTATAACATCTTGAATTATACAGAAGATCTATTTTAGCCTGCTTGTAATTCAGAATTCACACAGGGGTATTATTTGGTGTGAGAATTCAAGATTTTAATGATCACAATTAAAATCAATTGCAGAGTTAATAATAAAAAGTCAATTATACAGCTAATTAAATGCAAAAAAATTTTTTTTTCCATTGAAACGGATCTTAGTACTTAAGCACATACTTCTGTGCGAATTTATATACACTTAAGCACATACTTCTGCATACCGCGCGCCGAAAGCTTTTTGATTGGTCTTGAAATGCACTCATGAGCAAAACCAGAATAGTAATATCATTTATTAAATTGTACAAATAGTTCAATAATTTTTGGGGGGTTGCTAATATGCATCTTTAATACAAATATTTACAAGGAAATGTTAAAAAAATCTTAAATCTGCGAAAGATATTAAGACCTCGGCCGGGGATTGAACCCGAATCTCTTGCATTCCGTACGAGCGTCCTCACGATTAGACCACCGAGGCTTCAACAATATTCATCACAATAACCAGTAACTGGTAAATAAACGTCGTGTTTCAAAGTGACGTATGTTAAACAGTACTATATTGAGAAGTAGGACCAATAAGAACAAATCAAATTAAATACGAAAAATTCGTATTTTCAATTAAAGCGGATTTTAGTGCTTAAATACTTTTGTGTGGTTGAAGGAATATTTGTATGTAAATGAATTTATATAAATTCACATAGAAGTTAATTAGAATTAATTAATAAGTGTTAATTTTTCAACATATATATTGTTTAACATACATCACCTTGAAGCACGATGCTCATTTACCTAGTTATTGATTATTGTGACAAATATTGCCGAAGCCTCGGTGATCTAACGATCTAAGAAGAAAAAGTTATTCACATAACGTTATTGTTGTAAATAAGACGCGTTACATACAACTGTCGAATAACCTTGCTTAACACTTGGGAAAACGTTTCTTTAAAGGCTCTCGATTTATTCGGGCCATTTACTCACCGTAAAGGGGCCCGATCACAATCATAACAACGACCATGAGCACGATGACCCTTTTCTGGCGATTGTTCGCCCCTTTCTTGAACGCCACACGAAACGTCTCCTTGATATGCTTCAACGAGAAGAAGTCCAAAACAAAGGCGCACAACGAGGTCCGCTTACCCTCGCTTGGAAGGGACTTTTTCCGCGCGCGTTCCGCGAGCACCCTCGACGGTTCCTTGATAACCACTAGACCGTACACAAAGCTCATTATGTAACACACCATCGCGATACTAAAGACACCATAGAAACCCAGCTTTGTGTAAAATATCCCTGATAGGGCCATGCCTATTGGCACGCCCAAAGACAGGAAGACGTTGGCCGCGCCAATCCTAAGTGTTCTCGATTCGACGGTTGTGATGTCCGCTATATAACTGAAGATACCCATAAACATGGTAGACCAACCGCCAGCTAATCCAGGCCACACTGACTCCAGTACAACCACCTCCATGGGTAACTCGTAGAACCAGTAAGTGCAAGCAATGAGGGTAACACTACTGAAGAACTCGCCGATGATCGGAAGTAGCATGCAAGGCTTCCTTAGACCAGTGCGATCGCTCCACGCACCCATAAACAGAATCAGGATGGTCGGCAGGGCGCTCTGCAGCGGCGTTTTCCAGGTTTGCATACGCGCCACCATCTGCTGAACTGCCAGCTCCTCCGCCTCGTAACCGGTGGTGTTCCTGGCGGACAAAGCCGAGCACACTTCATCTGGATAAGCCAGATTCACTCGGCAGGCCTTCTCGAGGATTAGATTCTGGGTGGCCAGCTGGGAAAGCACGCTGGGAATCACATAGCACGCGACCATCGGCTCGACGGTGATGTTGCTGGTCAAGAAGGACCATTTCTGCCGGATGCTCATGGACTTCCAAGTAACGGCGCTGTCAGACTTTTCGGGGATCGATTGTTTCTTCTCCGATGTGAGCCCCGCGGGCGTGCCGATCGTTGTCGTGATCTCTGACATATTTCGCGTCAAAGAAGAAATAGAATTGAATCGACTTCTTTCAGAGAAAAATCACAGTCCCTTTCTATCGTCCAAGTGTACGATCGGCCGAAGGGCATCAAGCTGCCTGTAACAAGGAACGTCCCAAGGAATGGCCCGCGAAGAAACGCCTCGTACGCGAAGGCGTTCAAAGTTTTTCGCTCAGGTCGCTTCGGAGACGCGCGCGCTCGAGAGAAATCGCACGGTGGTCCCGCGACTCCCGGCTAATGCACCATCGTGCATTACCAGTCACCACCAGCACCAGCGTACCTCGTACCACCTCTTTCCAACGGGCCGCGCGCTGTCACCGCACGCTCACCGCTCTTTCCTACGATCGGCCTCCTGCAGGCGCGCCAACGAGTCGGTCCGCCTTCGTGTACATCCACTTAGGGACTAAGCACACGCGGTGGCCCCTCGGGGCAACGTCGCCGACTCGTTCGCGCTTAATCGGTTCCTCCGCGGTGCACGACACGCGGCTAATGCTCCACGAGCGCGATTACCAGCGCGCTCCCGCGAGTCGCTTCCGATTCCGCCCCGCAGGAGTTTTCGGGTCAAGGTCAGCCCCCCGACGACGGTGGCCCCGAGGGCCTCCGCGGGTCCTCCCGCCGCGCTCCTATTGAGATCCTATTCTTCCTCGGCGATTGCTTGCCCGCTTGTCCCGCTTGTCCCGCTTGTCCCGCTCGTTTTCCTTTCTCGACACGCGAAAAACATGGCGATCACCTTGACACGCGAGAGTGTCTTCCGCGATGGAGCATAACGAGCTACCTTACGTCCGCCAAATCTCTCCACTCGTAGCACGAAGTCTAATCCAGTGGTCTCAACATTGACATGTTGATAAATGAACGGCGTGTCATGATAATCGTGTTCATTTTCCTACCCAGGGAGTATTTATTCTTACGTCGGCGAATGATGATCTTTTTCGGCTTAATATACCTTACGATTCGACGAGACATCGTTTCCTCCTGCGTGAACAATTTAGATTTCCGACGATCCACCAACTGCGCAACTTACTATGTCGGAGGCTGTAGAAAGCCGCCGATGGCTTCATTCACTCTAGCCGAGATTCTCAAAGTTTATCGCCACCGGTGCAAACGTCCTCGCGCCCGGATGATGTCAACAACTCGTAACGGGTTACTCACGAAACCGTACGATTACCTCGTGCGATCTTACGTTGCGTAAGCTTCTTTCACCGAACGATCCATTCGGATCGATCGATCACGCAGCCTTCGATCTGTCCTTGACACGTTCCTCTCGTTGCGAAAATTCTTCCCTATTACAGATGATGACAGTTATTAGTTTGGCGTTATCCGAACGTATTTCCTCTTCGATCGACAATAGCGAGCGTGTGACTCCGGGTAGTCGCGTAAAGAATTTCATTTTCAACCCGCCGCCCGTGATTTGATTAATGAGAAATTCGTGAAATCTTAGTTTAGAGCCGAAGCGGAAACGGCTACCGGCGACCGCGACGATGTCGAACGGATGGCGAACTGAGCGTAAACAGGCAGCGTCGTCGAATCGCTGCCGCGCGTAACTCGACGAGGCGCTGTTAAATGTGACAATTCGTTGATAAAGTAATCACTACTACGCACGGTCCCAGCGTTCTACAGTCGGAGCCTATTTTAGACAGGGCCGTCCAAGTGCCATTATCTGCGACGGTGAATCCAAAGCTATTCGCGCGACTCGGCCGCTCGAGTGACACACAGGCCGCGAGTCGCGGTTGCACCATCACGGTTTTTTCATCACGTCACGCGGTCGCGGCTCGTAGATTTTCGCGTGTCCTGCCCATCGCTGATTATCATCGTTGTCACGTCGAATTTCTCGCGCCTTTCGTTCGCATTCGTTCGCACGGAATAAGCCCCCTTGTCCGTTTCCCAATCGATCGGACGTCGAGTGTCAGTCCTCGTGCGCGTATCGCGAAATCCTTCAAGTTCGCATGGCGAGGTACTACAAAATCGAAAGGACGAAAATCCGCAAGGTCGCGTCCGAGCGACGAAAGACATCTAGAGGCGGCCCTGGCTCTTAAGTCTGACGTATGATGCCGTCAAGTGAGTAATGCTCGCAATTCCACAGCGATGCTTATAAAATATTCGATGCAGAGCTGTCACCGGCACCTCTCCCTCTCTCTCTTTCTCTCTCATTGCCTCCTCTCTTTCCCACTCTCTGTCTTGATATCCGACCGACGAGGGTGCGTCTGTGGTCGTCATTACTCAAGAGCCATCCTCGTCGGCCATCATGGCGGCCGTGTTTGCGGCACGCGAGAGGTATGATTCTTTCGCGGTGATCAACTGGTTATTCGGCGTACCATTCGGCGTTGCCAATTGACAAAAGCCTACTAATACATTGCGATAAATCATCTATCGGCAGGTAATTACCACAAAGGTATTTTATATTTTATTTCGTTGCATTCTCGCTCCGCTGAACCGCTACTCAAGAATTACGGATTTTCAAGTAGCAGCCATGGAACTATAGTTAATGATTTCAATTCCGCGTTTAGCACATAAAGCAACTTTCGATTTTTTTTTTTTCGCAGCTGTCGAATTTAATGGACAGAAACGATTTCTCCTGTTACACGTTTCTAGCGGAGTGACGTAATCACTTTTAGGTCACCAGTGTATTATTTATTTGCTCGTTTGCCTTGCAGATGATTTTTATTTCATTGTTCATTGATAACAATTTAACTAGGTTACTCTCTTCGTCAACATGTTATACATTATTATATATTTTAATCTTGTGATAATGCAAAAATGTAGCTAAAACATGAAAGGCATTTAAATTAGAACGAAGGATAATCACAATAATATAATTATAACTATAATATTTTTAATATATAATACTGATTAGATTCATATACTAACTCATATACTAATATATTTAATTTATGTAAGTGTTTAATTAATATTGAAAAAATGTATCTCAATTAATATAATAATTAATAAGCAAGTTATCATTAAAATAAATAAGCAACACAAATTGTTTGTTCAGTAATAGTTTATTCTCGATACAAATTATTTATTGCTCGTCAAAAGTAATTGAAAAAATTTGAGATTATTTTTTTTATCAATCATTTTATTTCAATGAATTTTTACAAATATTTAAAAAACGGAGCATTTTGTTCACAATAATTCTTTATTTACTTCAGCAGTCTATTTGGAAGTTGTTTTGCTTGATTCAATTAACTTCAATCGTATATAGAATGCGTATTACATCTTCAATCTTTGGGTGCATCCATAATTGAATTAATGTACAACGAGTACTTCGTAATCCTTGAACGACAACTCCTCGCCTTCGTACGGAATGTATAAGCATCCGTGACTTGGTTGTACCTATGGAATTATTTTTTTTAATATAATGTAATCATATATATATATATATATAATGTAATCACATCTGTTAAACTATATCAAAGACGAGCGAAGATAGTGAATGTTTAATTAATGAAAATGTGAATTTAATGTATTCAAATTTAACTAAATAATATGTAAACAAAACAATTGTATTAATAATAAGTCTTCTTCAGTTGTATAAATAGATATTATTCTGCGAAAACAATTAAGAGAAAAATTGAAAAATCGGAATCATTATAGACGATTAACTAAACATGTATGTATGTACATCTATAATGACACCAATTTTTCTATTTTGCTTTTAATTATTTTCACGGAATAATATCTATTTATACATCTGAAAAAGAATATCTTCTTAATATGCAATTGAAACTTGTCTCGCCTATATTTTGTCAATTTTAAATTAACATATTAAATTCGCATTTTTATTATCTATATTTTTATAGTTTTATTAATTACTCTCACATAAATCTAATTTAATATGCCCAATTTAATATTAAAAGATAGTAATTAATTATTTATTTTAAATATTAAAAGCATTATTTTTTATGTCTTAGTACTTAAAGTAAAATTATTAATATCCATTGTTCTTTTTGCTCGTCTTTGTCTCATTCTAACACATTATTATATTGTTTTACAATGACGAATAGGATATTAATTATAGTTTTTAATGTATATTTTGAACAGCTGGATTATATCTTGTCTAATAATAAAGATAAGGGCGCGCAATAAAAATAATAGTATAAAATATATAAAAATAAAAGTGAGTTGCTTGCTGAATACAGACTATAGGTTGCAGAATGTTTTGGCAAATCAAGCATGCTTCGATCAAGTTGCTATTCCATATTTTATGCTTATCATTACTGTCGAACCCTGAGATTAATAGCTGCCGAAAAGACCGACCTTGCCAATTGTTTGAGATCCATTATGGAGGGCACGGCCAACGTACAGAGGTTCTCCATCAGCAGTTTGACCTGCGATTATTGCATCTTCTGGTACTTCACCGTTGCTGCAAAACTCCCATGCAAATTCCCCTTGGACAAGGACCTGGTAAAATCGTAATATCATTCTATGGTATAATTAATTAATTGCTTATAAATATCATCGACAATTGATTTTGACACGTTTTTTGTTCTTATCATTATTCTTTGATTAAACATTATCAGATAACAAAATATAATATAATAATCTCGTGCGAATCTTTGAGACACCTATACCGAATCATATTTTTATCAGATCAATAGCTACTTCCGAAAAAAATTTGATATCTCAAGATCCATCTTGAGTCTAATAAAATTGATTTTAGTAAATCTTATATTATGATTGTTATTTCATGTACTTATTTACGGAGCATTATATAAGTTATGAAAATGATGTAACCGTTTTTAAGCGTTGTTGGAATCAAAGGAAATCGTTGTTAGTTTCTTAGATGAGTTTCGTACAATGAGTTCGTACAATTTTTAATATAGCAAATTGGTGATAATCACTTCTGTGAACAAATTTTGATTAAAGCTAATCTATAATTTTTGTATTAAAAATGCGATAGAATATATTTAATATATTATACTTTATGGTCGATTTTGAGCGACCTTATGAGTGTCCTGATCAAGCAATGCAAAGCTTAGCATGATACTCGTAAGTGATCAGGTTTCTCGTAACATAGAAAACAATTTTTCTGTTTTATTTGCATTTACCTCGTAATTGTCTTTGGGATGTTCCTCGCCGTTGTGACAAACGTAGGCGACACCCTTGTCAGGAATCACTTTCGCTGGTAACATGTCACCATCATGAAAAGCTCTGCCGACGTAAAGTTTGCTTCCGTCAGAGTCGCGACCGCCGATGATCGCGTTTTCTGGCAGCGATTGACTGCTGACACGGCTTACCCATCTGTAGGCTGTAATAATAAAATTATTAGGAAAATCGGTATGTTGAGTATTATATTAACATATTAGTATGATTCGGGTCTATCAAGATTCAGTTTCTCGACTTTATTTTGTTGGCAAAATGAAAATTTTATGTAACTTAATACTTAATAGAATATTTAACTTGATAAAAAATTAATTAAAATAAGGAAAAGTGTAAAAATGTATGTTTTTTATTTTAAACATCTTCTTAAATTAATCTTCT